CATCTTCCTCTTTTGAAATGGAAATTTCGTTGGGATGGAGGAGGTTAATTGACAAGTGCATCATATACCAGCAGCTGTGAACCAAAACTTAGTTGCAGAGGGAAAGAACTTTAGGTCAAGTTTGCATCAATCAACACCAACTTTTGTTTAAAAATTTCCATTTTAGTTTGTATTATTGATCAACTTGATTAGTGAGCTGTTGTCACCCTTGACGTGAGTACGTTATACTGTGATAAAAAGGACATACGTGATTACTTAGGTGCCTAAGATGCTTTTATCCTAAGGACCCAAAAGGCACAATCACACTAGGGCTTTTCCTATGGGCATCAAAAATTTGGGTTGGGTTGGTGAGAGGCAAAAGGCTTCTTTTTTCGTCAACTTCTCGAAGCACAATCATATATATATATATATATATATATATATATATATATATATATATATATATATATATATTTATTTATTTATTTATTTTAAATAAAAAGCCCCCATCAATCTACAAAATATTTATCTAGGCATATCTCTCTCTAGGTCTCATGATTTCTTGTAGCTAGCTGGATCAAGTCAAGTACCAAAGAGAGAAGTGGCAAGCTAAAGAAAGAGTATTACAAGACATTATATATTCTCTTCCCTTTTGATCATGAATATATAGTCAAACTGATCTCAGTTGCAAAATCTTTGTGATGACGGTTAGGGCAATTAAGTACTTTAAGTAATACTTTCTTAAAGTTGAAATATGTATTCGTATTATCGTATACTCATATAAGCAATAGTTCAGTACAATTTACAGATAAGATATACATTTTGTGGAATACTCATCCCTAGCCCCTTTTTATGTCATTATTGGCGCCGGTACGACAAAAAATCTTGGCCTTTTACCTGTCAAAAATATGATAACCTAAGTTTACTCAAGAATGAACTACCTTTAAATTACTCCTTGGAGGGATAAGCTCATTTTCCCATTTATGAATAACGTATCTCTATGGTAGAATTTTCATAATCGGAACTGTTCAATATTTATTTCGAAATCGTTCCTACAAAAAGTCATTCAAATCAAAGATCATTTAGTCATCTGCATGTATCAAATAAATCATACTACAAAACTATGAACAAATAGAGGCTAATACATTTGCACCAATGAATTAGAAATAGGGGCAAAATTTGAGGATTTGCTGACTCGAGGTTAATAAAAGATTGGATTTTCGATGCTATCTCACCCGGGGGTGTGTTCATCTAGACGATTCTAACATATTCCACCCACTCTGGGTCTTGGTAAGGGAGCCTTAGAAAGTGGTCCAGTAGTAGGGCGGGGTTGGTAGGGACCACCGAACAGGCAGTGAGGATCCCTGGAAACCTCGATAAGCCACAATAAAGTAATACCAACTTAATCTCTACTAATTAATAAAACACTCATTGTTAACCAAAACCCTATGAAATTATCAGTTTAACCCTCTAATTAAAACAGAACATAAATAAGAAATATGGGGTAGAAATGTAATTTCACACAACCAAATTTTTTTGTTTTTTTTTTCAAAGCCTCACCTACATGTAATTCTAAGTTCCTAACATATCTCTAATTAATAAATAAATAAAAAATAAAAAAAAACTTCCCACTCCCACCTTCTCTTTCACTCTCTTCCTCTCTCCTTCTATTTCAAAAACAAAAATAAAAAATTTTCTCACACACTTTGTGTGTGCCCATATGCTAGTTGTTTACTACATTGTAAAAGATGAAGAATTGGCACAGAGGAAGAGGAAGATGATAGAGAGAAACAAAAGAGATTCTAGAGAAAGAGAGAGTTTAGAGAGGAAAATAAGATTTGTATTAACTGACTAAATGAAGATTACATACTTTTTTTTTATAAGAGAAATCCTAACAACCTTACTAACTATATCACTAACTGTATTACATTTGTACCCTTAATACTCCCCCTCAATCTCAACTGGGGAAACCCAGTTTAAGATTGGAAGAACATTTGCAATCACTGCTATGAAACCAGAAAAACAGAACAGCTTGAACCAACTACAACCTTGATTCTGCAAAAATGGAAATTATCTCAAACCTTTTTTGAATAAAGAATTTGTTATAGCTGCAGAGCAAAGGCATAAGTGTTATATCAACAAGAACCTTTTATGATAGATACAAGCTGCAGAGCAGTAGTGAACATCAATCTGCCCCAAATATATTCACTGACTCACTGCAACAAACTCAATCTGCCCCAAACTCAATTTGCAAGCTCAGTAGGAAGCACATCCAAAAGTCTAATTTTCCTCTGCATTGTGCAGGAGCTTTAATCAAAGAACAACCTCTTATAAAGTTGTAACACACCATCATGCCGGTTATAACAATTTCTTACGGGATTACCCTTCGTGGGATTTACCGTCAACAACTTCATTTAACATTGGCATCAGCCTTTAAAATAGAAAATTAACAAACTATAGTGTGGCATTGGCCTTAACTATAGTACCACGGGATCGCCTTTTGTGGATTTTACCAAAAAACAACTACTCTTAACAATGGCATTGGCCTTCACAATTTCAACATCTGAAAATCAACATCTATGTAAGATTACCCTTCATGGATTTACTCTTCGTGGGATTTACCGTTAAAAAGTTATTCTACCCTTCGTGGGATTTACCTATTCACATCATGTAATTACTCTTTGTGGGATTTACTGTTTACAACTTCTTCAAACTTCATGGGATTTACTAGTTAGACTCTGAAATTATAGGCTGAGACAAGAAACGATGATCTGAAAAACCTAATGATTTCCCGAGGGACGTTCTGTCCCATTCATTATCACCTTCTGCTCTCAAACTGCCAATGTTGAGTTGTTCTAAGAGAGTGGAAAGGGTTGGTACTGCAGTAGGATCAAAGTCCTCACAATGATTTGGATCAATTGGAACACAAACACGACCTGTTTTTTTTTGTGTACACAGAAATATGCCTTTAACAAATGGTTCATGTGTTTCGAAACCTTCATGTCAAGCCTAGGGTAGGTAAAAGAGAACACAATCTCTTCAACGCACCTATGCAGTCCTTGCACCTTAGGTTTTCCAGATTGCAACATAGTTTGTAGTTGCTCCCATCTAACAACATTAATGTCTTCTTTTGAACTAGAGGTTTATCTCCTTCTTGCCACCTTCTAAGAAGCTCAGAAGTAATAGATTGATCAGGATCGGGAATCATATCTAAGATCTTTTCAGATCTCTCATCTGTAGAAAATATGTTTAGACTCAAAAGCAATTTTGTAAAGATGTCTGTAAGAACTCCAGTATAAGAGCTCGCAAAGAACGGATGGAAAGCAAGACCGGGAAAAGAAACCTTATTTCAGACTATCTTCATTTGTGAGCCTGCAAGAGACTCGGTTTTGCGCACCTAATAGTTAGGACGGTCGGGTATTAAAATTGCACCTAAAACAAGCGTTGCTGTTAATAAATAAGTGCAAATAGGCACATATTTCCGCCTCAGTTTTGCTGCCAAGTAGTATATTTATATTGAACCGTTGATTTATTTGACACAGTGGGATGACTAAAGGATCTCGGATTCAATTTTGTAGGGATGATCTTGCAATGAAGAATAAAAGATTGAACGATTCCGATTATGAAAATTTTACAGTGAAGATAAGTTATAAATGAGAAAATGAGCTCTCCCCCTAATGACAATATCTATGTGATGAATAACCGACTCCCAAGTTTTGAGAATTAGGTCACTCAAAATCAAACACAACATAAAATCCAAAACCATCCAAACGCCTTGAATGCATGATGTCCATTTTTTTTTTCCTATTATATATAGCTAGCTTTGTGAATTTCAGTCACAACAGACGTACGTTCCACATCACTTCTCAGCAGATATACAATTAAATTAGTATATGAAGGTTTCAGCTGTTAAATTTCCCCTCACGGACATTGTCATCCTAGACCTCCTTGTGTCGTCAAGGACATGGGAGATTCCAGATGTTCGGCAGACTTGATATTTAGTTAAATTGTGGCAAAAACGCAAAGATGTATGCATGCATGTGGATCAAACTATGAGCCACGTAATGAACAAAAATGGCAAAAAGTTGGCATAGTCCTCCATTGATATCAGATACCAGCATTACCTAACCACATGTCCGTCGCTGTTAACATGTTACGGAGTTTCTTTAATAAAAAAATTCGTCTCACACTTGTGCATGGATGTGCAAATCAGCTCTATAGAGCACATGAATTCATTTTGCTTAGTGTAATTTGTCGGGTACAATTGGCACAAAATAAAAGAACATCACGTATAAAAAGCATATGAAGTGATGTAGGTTATGTAATGTTTGCTCGTGTTAGTTTATAATTACACGGGCAAAGAGTATCATATCGATATAAATAGGAATGGAATCATCATTTGTTTTTGTAATTAATCAAAAGCCAACAGTGTGCACTTTGTTTATGTGTGTGTGTGTTTGAGATTGGATGAATCCGTGACATAATTTTGGGAAAACCATCATCGATATATTGCATGGCACCAACTATTGTCTTCTCTGTTTCTGTAAACATTAACCATCAAACTTTTTTTTCTTTTGGGTAAAGATCAAACTTCTATTTTTGTTTATTTATTCTGCATATATAAATCATGAAATTGAATTATTACCTTGTGCAATGCAAGCTAAGTAACAAGAAGAGAATTATAATTGTAGCATTTGCAATTTTATTTTCCGTATAGGGTTGGCAAGGTGAGATATCATTTTCCATCGAGTTCTGGGGTGGTGAAACTAGACTTTTTTTGGTCGTTGAGGAAGCTAAGCTAGACAATTTCTATTGGCATCGTATCAATGAACCCCACAAAACAATCGTTTTAGTGCCACTTAAGGGTCCACACTGTACATGCATAATTATGGTTTATGAGGTCTTAATTTCTGCTTAGCTGGTATTCTATATTAAACCCATCGCAGTTATGGTTGATAGAAAAAGCTTTCTCAACATATTTAGCATCTAAGGTTTTGCCTTATTTACACACTTCAGTTTCCATAATTTTATTTTATTTTTCTTTAATTTTATGCTAGTGAGTTGTGAGGTTGTTGGACCATCAGTTCACAACGACCATTTTTGGGTTTACAACTAACTAGCTAGTAAACAATGAGATTAAAACATTAGTAGTTATGTAGTAAAAAGGTGGTCATGGATCGTTGCCCCCCCAATTCCTTTCAATAGAAAGATAAAAAAAAAATTACCGACTAGCTTTTCTTCTAATGATATTTAGTATATATCAGTAAAACAATTTATAATTAAACAAAAACAGGTCGATTACTGTGCTTACCAATAGTTAAGACTACTAAAGCAAGAAGAGAGAGAGAATATTACATGCTAATATGCTATAAATATATATCTAGGGTTAGGGCTTGGTCATTACCACCACATAACCATAAGCTCTTGTTTCCTTTCTTTCTCTCTCTCTTTATCACTCTCTAACTCACCTCCACCAACTTCTAATTTGCCATCTTTTGATTCTGAGTCAAAAAACCAGTGAGGAAATTTCAGCATAGTTTCAAGGGGGTTTGGGGAAATCAAGAGACGTAATAAAATCGAGATCTGAAACAGGGACGAATTAATCAGAAACTTAAATGAGGAAGCGGCAAGTAGTTTTGAGAAGAACAGAACAAGCTTCAGCAGCTTCATCTTTCACCGTCGTGAGATATGGAGAGTGCCAGAAGAACCATGCTGCTGGGGTCGGAGGCTACGCTGTTGACGGATGCAGAGAGTTCATGGCAAGTAATGGAGAGGAGGGAACAACTGCTGCACTCACCTGTGCTGCTTGTGGCTGCCACAGGAACTTCCACAGACGAGAAGTCGAGACCGTCTGCGAGTGCTCTTCGCCTTCTTCAAATGGTGCCTAATTAAAATAATTAAGCAGCTAATTTATGTATATGTAATTATTTTATTAAGTGTGTGGTTTGAGAGATATTGCTGTTTTAGTTATTTCTGGGTTGAGAGATGAGAGAAATATATGGCTGGACAGTCTATTATATATGTATGGATGGAAGGTGAAAAGGGTATGTTGTATTTTCCTAGTTAATTTAAGTGTTTGCAGATTAAAAGAAAACAACGGCTAGCAGTTATATGGTGTATGTGCATTACATGGTGATGAAGCAGTGAAAAAAAAGGTATGTGAAATTAATTAATATCCCTCAAAGAAAATTAATTAAGAGTTTCATGACAATCTTGATTGGAATATCTGACACCAATTGAGCTAACCTTTAGTTTATTGTTACAAAAAAGGGCATATATATATGAAAGAGAGAGACAAATTATTAGCTCGCCTAGGTTACTTGAGGTAATTAGTTCATGTAACCTAGCTAGTTAATTGAATTTCTCATGGTAAAAAATAAACTTCTTCTCATGTATTTACTTCTTTTAATTAATTATGTACCTATCATGTTTGATCCTCTTAATTCCTGTGCTTGATAAGTGCATATATTTGGCATATGTAAAGCATCAATCTATGAGTGATACTGACTGATCTTAATGGTAAGTTCTGGAATTATTCCTCCTTCTGTCTCTAATATATTTAAAGAAAAAATTCATATATTGCTAGAAATTAATCTGCAATTAGTCTATAAATGTTTAGATTGCTTTGTATTTAGGATTGAAGGCCCACATATCTAATCGTGTTGGTTGTTATAATGGTGGGAATTTCTTTAATTAGCAACGTTGTTGAAAGGTGATTAACTTGTTGATTATCCCACTGATATCTCTTTCGGTAGGTCCTTAACCTAAATCTCCCACTAATATAATCTTCTTTGGTAGGCCAAGTTGTTGATTATCCCAAGAACCAAAAACCAAGAAAGAACATTATAGAACGCTCCACGACGCTCATATGCAAGTTCGATTGCAAGTATTCAAAAGAACGTTATGAAGAAGTTGGATTAATTAGAATCATTAAAACCATGTTCTATATATATATTCACATAGATATGCAGTAGTTTTTTCTTAGAAAACGATTCCCTTCTTGGCGTTAGCTAGGTGATCAAAGTATCATGAAAATAGAAATTGCAGAACCAAATAGGTACAAGATTTTCTTTTTCTTTCTTTTTCCTTTTCGATGTTCGTAGGGTTTTGATGTTTATACATGGTCATGTGAGTTGTTTTAATCAAGTTAGGCCTTGAGTATGGAGAGGGAACAAACATTCAGGTATACATTACATTGTAGGTGAGCCGATCGGGCAGATGTCAATTCTATGAAACCCTCAAAGAAGTATGTACGTATGCATGTTCGTCTAGCTTCTTGGGGGGCCAATTGAATGCTTATAGTAATAAGGTAAGAGCTCATTGACAACTTGGACAATTTGCACTACAATGCACCCTTCACAAACAAGAAAGTATTTAGTGTCACTATCACATCATGTAATAGCAATTCACTTATATTATCACTCTTTTTAACTATATATACATGTGACGCATAATTTTGTCATATATTCATATCATTATAACACGTGAACAAAACATTGCATAAAGTGTGAATCTACACTTAAAAAGTTTTTCTTTAGGAACATGATTACTGCATACAAGTTTTTCATCCCAAATTTGCATTTCTCCAAGCGAGCACTAAGCAAGCAAGCTACCACGCCTTTCTTCTATTCTTGAAGAACTCTAATGTGACCTTAGTACTCCGTAAGACTGAAGCCAATGATGGTTAGTTCTCAAGAAGCCATCTCTTGTATTAGTCTATTTTCCATTCGAGTCTACTTAAATCATTTTTCAACTCACCCTCGTATTTTCTTGTTTTTTCATTCTTTCTGGTTGTTAATCTAAAAATATTTTATGCTTAAGTGTCGTATTAGCCAACTATTTCTGTACCTCAAATACAATCAGAAATTCCCAAATACAATTTTTGCTTGTAAATGGTCTCACAATTAATCGAGTACATTCCAAATTCTACCGGTAATGTCCAATATATTTGTTTTATATTCACTAGGATGGTAGGACTAGGTTTTAAAAATGGTACGCAGGGTTTAAGATCCCTATGGCGACCGGGAATTCATTGTCAGAATATTGGGCTTTAAAAGTTATGTTAAAATTTAGGGTTCAGAATACACAACCTATAGTGAACCGAACTCTGTTATTGGACTATGGGCCAAAAATTTTGCTGTCCGAGAACAAACTTTAGCTGGGTAATTCTTGGTCTCAACTTTTGAACATTCAAAATCCGTCAATTTATAAACCGTAGAGAATTGGTAATTGGTTCACAACATGAACCGAGTAACCGAATGTTAAGGTGAGTTTGTCCACAAATAATTACCAATCGTTCGCTGACATTAAACAGAGTCACCACCAATGATTAATTAGTGCATACGGATTTGACATTGGTTTGTACTACCTATCATATAACATCGCTTAACCATAGCAAGAGCATGAAATATTGAGAGCTTCTTTCCATAAAAGAAGAATTTACCGGTTTTATAGGAAAATATGTTCGTCTAGTAGAAACAACCATTCAATAAACGCTTACCCCATATCTAAAAAGTGTCATACTCATCTAATGGACGATTATCATGTGGTGAGTTGGGAACATGATAAAATTTTGATCTCTCAACAATTAGAAGGTTTGAATTGATTTTTTCTCGAGAAAAAGATGGTCTCATCAACACTTACAGTAGCAAACCTCTTCATTTTTTTCAAATTTCTTCAAAAAATTTGCTTTGGCACTATTTTTAAGTAAGTCACCAGCAACTCTTTACCTCCCCCCCCCCCCACAAAAAAAAAACAATTATCTCCAGAACAACCCTAATCGAACTTTGAAAGACCCAAAACTGAATGCTTTATCAAACTTGTAGAAAAACAAGTTCAGTTATTAGAATCTTCAGTAAAGATTGAGCTTGACCTAATTCAACAGAGCTAGGTCAGCATTTGCATTTACCGAAGTCAATGTTAAGGTTAGCAGCACGTGAACCAGACTGATCATGGTGCCATTTGGTTTCCCAATTAGGGTAGACAAATGACGTCTTTCTTCTTTGTTTCACATGGGTTCAAGTTCCATACCATACGATACGATGTAGCTATAGTTTTACGTGAACTCTCATTTGATTTAGGGCATCGATTAATCTATAAATCCGCATGCATGTGACTACAATACAGATACGTGATACAGAAGCACAATTACGTGCATAGATAGCTTACATATTACAACATTAGTAGATGTAGATATCATGCATGTGTCGAGAAGGTAAATTTTCAATGTCATGGTTTGTGGCAGTAGTAACTACTGAAGTTAAAAGGCTATCGATGGTTGATGGTGCCACATGTTGTGAAAACACACCCGCACGTAACTTATTCACGCAAAGTAGAAACTAGAAAGAGAGAGCCAAAATTTTCATAAATCGGTAAAATTCTCATACTTTCTATTCGTATTAGGATTAAGGACTTCACAATCAACCAAATCTGTTCTCATATTTACATACGTCCTTGTCTTATTTAGGGGTGGAAATTCTTACCAAATTACTGTACCAACCGCCCTACCAACCATATCATACCAAATTACTACCAAAAATTTGTACCAATTGGTAATGGTACGGTATTTGTACCATACCATACTGTTTCAGTACGGTACTGGTATCCAAAACCAGTACCAGTGGTATACCGTACCTACCAATATTATAAATATTATATTATGTATTTATTCATATAATTATTTGAGGGAAAAATTAATAATAATTATTGTATAAGTGTAAAAAATGTAAAAAAAATTATACAATAACTCATAGTGACAAGCTTTACAACTTTCATGAAGGGGTCAGCTTCAAAATCCAACACTATAATCCATAAACCTTAAATTTATATTTAACCGTCGATTGTCATTTACGATTTATTCTTCTTACTGAATTTCATTTTTTAAATTTTCTTTTCTGAAAACATGATCATCTGACGGATGTAAGAAGATGAACGGTTCAGATCTTTGATATCACGTTTCGATATTTACGGTTAACTGAAATATGAGTCGATGTCATATAGTTTGTAGAAACTTTATAAACATCAAGCAATATTTTCACTAACCGTAAAACTCTAAACATAATATCAACGATCCAAACCTTTCATCTTTCTACATCCTCTAATAGATCATGGTTTCAGAAAAGAAAATTTGAAAAAAATAAACAAAATTTGATGAGAAAAATGAAGTGTAAATGTAAACAACAATCAACAGTTAAATTTTGATCTATGATTTATATGATTATAATGACGAATTTCAAAGTAAAGCTCTTCCAAAAAGTTGTAAAGCTTGTCATTACGAGCGTTTATATATTTTTTCTAAATTTTTTACACTTCTACATTAATTAAAAAATATTAGATTTTGTGCAAACAAAGTGACAATTACCATTGGCATACCATACCAACCAAACTATTTCGTATACCGATATTCGGTATACTGAAAGTTTGGTATGGTAATGGTAATAAATTCTGCCGTACCAAATATTTGGTATGGTAATTGGTACAGAAGTTTTGGTACGGTAAGGTACCAAAACCACCCCTAGTCTTATTAATATTATTATTATTTTGATTTGTAGATGTCTATGTCCCACTTATGAAGAGATAAGAAAAGTATGGTAAATATAAATGCAACCTTTAATTTGATATATATATATATATATATATATATATATATATATATATATATATATATCTTAAGAAAATGTGCAACCTTTATTCTCTCATAAAGCTTGTGCATATACTTATTATCCTATTTTTTTTATGAGTAGCAAGACTACAAAAAAACTCGTTCGAATATGATAAGGTATTCGATTGTGGTCAATTTTTGTTTTTAAGACACTGTCACAAGTACGTAAAGGAATATATATAAACACAATTAGGATGAGATTTAAGGTGAATTAGTTGGGTTTGCGCAAGTTATAAGTGTATATAATTACTAATTCATTACTATTAGACTGATAATATAAGGAATATATATAAAGAATGGAGTTCGGGGACATGTCTAGAACATTGTAGCTAGGACCACTGAGTAATGCGTTAATCTTTATGCTGCAAATAATTGCGTGGTCCTTCATTGACTTGCCGTATTAATTTTGTTTATCATCAAATGCATATGTGTTTGCAATTACATGCTTCCTTTTATATGTAGGATGTCAATGACATGAAAAAAGCTTTTCATAGGTAGCCTTCCTACTAACAAAATAAAGACAG